AGGGATGCCCTGTGAGGTGGCTGTTCAGAGATGAGTGTGAATAGTGATAAAAACAAGACAAAACCTGGAGCCGTGGCTGCTCTATTTACCCCCAGAGAGTGTTCTACCAAGGCTTCCCAAGAGCATGAAGCAAACTCCTTGTCCTGACAGAAAAACCCTGTTATTAATTTACTGTGAATTCCTGTTCATTCACATCCAGCAAAGTCTTTTAACGGAGGCTTCCCAAGAGCATGAAGCAAACTCCTTGTCCTGACAGAAAAACCCTGTTATTAATTTACTGTGAATTCCTGCTCATTCACATCCAGCAAAGTCTTTCAAGGGAGGATTTACGGTCACAGACCTTATCTGGCTTGGAGAGCTGCCAGGCTGATATCTGCAAAACCTGGCAGAGTCTTAGAGAATCATGAACCAATGAAGCAAACTCACTGTCTCCTACAAACTCCACTCCTCTTTCGCTCCTCTTTTATTTCCTCTGGGAGGGGCCATTCATTGTCCCCCTGTGGCCTTACTCCCAAGTCAATCCCTGTTCTTTAGCTGTTCCCTTTGTCTGGCAACTCTGTTCATGCGCACACTGGGTTCAGGCTCCAGCTGGTCTTCTGCCTCACTGATGTCTGACTCTGAAGGCAGCTGAAAACTGGCATAAGGCTCTGGTCCCCTCTCTGCCTCTGACACAGAGCCCTCATCCGAGCCTTCCCCAGACTCCAGGACTGGCCCATGCTCCTCCCCAACCTGGGCCACAACAGAAACTCAGGGTTTCTCCTTCACTCTTGTCCTGGACCTCGAACTGAAACTTGGATGCCTGCTTAGTCCTACCCCACAACCCAGAGAATGAGAGCCCACCGTTGCTTCCAGGTCTTCTGTCTTGTTGCGCAGATGGTCAAGGTTTTCACCCCTTGCTAGAATCCGCTCCACATTCTGAGCCATGATGTTCTTGACACCTTCAACTTCAGTATGGAGGTTCTTCACCCGCTCATTGGCCATCCCTGGGCCACTTCCAGTGCCTCCCTCCTGAAGAGAAAAAAGAACAAGGTTTTGGCAGGCAGAAGGGAAGGAAAGATGCTACCCACTCCCTTCCTTTCTCCTTCCCATGTTACCTCTATATGGGATGCCATAGCCAAGAGAGACTTTTATCAGAGTTTCGGGCAAAGTAGAAATGTATCATTGTCCAACCACATCCAAAAATCTTCCAATGACTAGGTGCAGTTTCCAAAAACTTCTAAAAATCACCAGCACACAAAGTGGCCAAAGAATTCTGGAACTCAAACCCTGGCTTCCCTTGTATGGTACAGGATGAGCATTTTTAAGAAGCAGTCAACAGTCACAAGGTCAGTGTCCATACTAGATCCAATATACCTTTGCCTGCTTCGAATACTGATCAGAAAGTATTTGTAAAACACCATTCTGTTCTACAGAGGAATGATTGAGTCTGTCATCTGCACCTCCATAACTCTCTGGTTTGGCTCTGCAACCAAACAAGACAAATACAGACTTCAACTGATAATTAGATCTGCAGAGGAAACAATGGCTACCAACCTGCCTTCCATTGAGGACCTGAACACTGCACGACTCATAAAGAAGGCTGTGAAAATATCCACAGACCCCTTGGATCCTGGACATTCATTGTTTCAACTGCTACCCTCAAAACGAAGCTATAGAGCCCTGCACACCAGAACAACTGGACACGAAGGCAGCTTTTTCCCAAACGCCTTCACTCTGTTAGAAATAATTCCCACAACACTGTCATATTACCTACTAACACTGTGTTACTACTATTCTTCTTCTCTTCCTTCCTAGTACCTATCTCTCCCCACTTATGACTATAACCACATTGCTTGTATCTTTACAATTTATATTGCTTTTGTTTCCTAACATGATCTGATAGCTTATTAGTAACCTTGACTATCACTAAGTGTTGTATCTTTTTATACCTGATGAATTTATTTTATTTTTCTTTATGTACACTGAGAGCATCTGCACCAAAGACAAATTCCTTGTGTGTCCAATCACATTTGGCCAATAAAGAATTCTATTCTATTCTATATTCCAATATTCTATTCTATTCACCCTTATTCTATTCTAATCTTAATTCTAATATTCTATTCTATTCCTATCCTGTTCTGTTTACTCTACTCTATCTCCCCTTTTATTTGGTGTAATAAGCCAGACCAATACAAATAGAGAGCTCATATGACTAAACTGCTTGGCTACATCCTCAGACCTCCATAACCGAAACTCAGCTAGCACTGCTGGACCAAAGACCCATCAAATTGAAGGATTGGAAGAGAACCTGAAGGCCTTTTGCTCAGCGCAAGCATCCCTGTCGTAGCAGCATCCCATTTCCATTTGAAAACACCTCCAGCAAAGAAGAGCCATCCGGTGTCAAGGCGAATTATCCTATTTGAATGCTCTCATCATTAGGAATTTCTTCTGATGCCCAACATTTCCTTTATAAATTAAAGCCGTTGTTTCTCATCCTGTCTCTTGCAGCAGTTCTCAACTCCCACCTACAGGATGCTTCTTTAGATATTTGAGGCTCTGATCCTTTTGCTTGCCTTTCTCCCCTTAGATCCTTTTCCAAAGATGGCATTACAACATTGGCACAATTATTATCTTTAATAATTATATTGGAGATAATTCAGCCTGAATTATCTTTCCAAAAATCCAGTATTTAATAACCCAAATTATTTTATGTATACTCTATTGCCATTGCAGCATCAATTTCCATTACGCCCTTCATAATAACACATATGAAAACACAAAGATTCAAACAAGTTGCAAACTAAATTTTGGGCGGGTAGGAAACAAAAGACATTTTATCACACAGTCATTCAATGCTGCAGTAATATTCACGTTCACCAAGTATGAGAGATATTTAATAAAGAACAAGAGTAATTTGTATTATCAGACATCCACTGAGAATTATGGGCATTTTCAAAGAGGCAGAAAAATATCCAGTGGAACAGCTGAATAAATAGTACAATTCTTATATTGCAATAATACAGCTGAACCATTCCAAAATTTCCACACAGTTGTTTTCACAGTAATTCTCATAACTGGATCCTTAAAGCAAGATTAAAAAAAAAAACTGAAATCAACCATCAAACGTGCTCTTCCCATTGTCCCAATTTCTAATAGATATGCTCTACTTATTTCCTGTGTTACAACTGGAGGCAGTTGTTACTTTATCACCACAAACGGCTTTTTTTTTAATGCAACAGTTCTCATCTTTTTTCATAAAACCTTCAGCCTCCTGCCCACAAAGAGACCAGAGCAAGCAAAGACCCACAGTTTCCTAAAAGCAAGTAGGCAGGGAAGCGAGATGGACGGGGGGGGGGGGGGAGGACGACTCCCTGCTTTAACAGGCTTCACCACAGTTGAAACAAAATGATCCTATCAATGACTGATCCTATCAATCCCTGGCGCTCAAATCCATGGAAAACCCTTGTCCTGCAGTCTCCCTGTAAGGAGCAGCCATCTGGAGCACATGTGGGTGATCTCCCTTCTCTCCTTTATCCAGAGAGGTTCCAGGGAAACAATCTATTCACTGGTTTCTTGTCTACGCTGCAGACGACAGCTTTGATTTGCAGTTTTGCTATTGCTAGATCTTCCCCTCAAAGTCCCAGAAACCATCTTCATTTTGCTGGCAGAGCTCCCTCCCATCACACATCAGAAAACGAGTATAGCAAACATTCAAATTCCCATCAAGTTTTAACAAGAAAAAAACAAAACAAAACTGATCCATAATATTTTGGGTTGGTTTTACATACCAAGAAAAACAGAAAAAACAAATGGGCTAAAATCCTTTATTTCTGCTCACAAATTAGAAATCAGTTGATAGACCTAATTTGGGGTTCCATAGAGATACCTGAGCTTTCAAAATTGCATTGTAACTTTTGACGGTGGCGAAGTTTATATGGGGTTGAATGGCATATTCTGGAACCTCTATTTGAAATATCAAGATCTCCTTAGGACAGTGAGGGCTGCTTCCATTTTCCTTAACCAGGTCATGCAAGACACTCAATAAATTCTGCATCCAGACTTCTGACCTAGAGAGTTAATTTCAAATTCCTGTTTTGAATGCATCCCAGAATTGGTGAAGCCAGAGAGTTGTTATTAAATGTGGAATCTCTGGTAGCTGTTCAGAGTCGTGCCACACCTGAAAACAGACCTGGAAGACAAAGAGGTTCTCTCCAGGTTGCAGCTGCAATGATACCAGCCTTCCGATATGAAAAGTATGCCAGGTATCTCCCAGGACCAACAGAATAAGTCCCTGCAGCCACTAGCAGGACAAGCAATACAGGAAGAACCAGAACAAGGCGTCCTCATCATCACAATCGGGCTGGAAGGGAGCCCTCCATGAATGGAAGGGACATCAGCTCAGCAGACGAGGGGGGCCAAATCCTCAGGAAGACAAAGCAGCTTTGCATTTCTCCCAGATTTAATGAAACAACCACTTCTATATGAAACAGATCCTGTGATCAATTCCACTAGATAAACCAGACCAAGAGGTCAATTCATACGGTTATAGGATCACAGGGCTGGAAGGGACCTTGGAGGTCTTCTAGTCCAACCCTCTGCTTAAGGCAGAAGACCTTATACCAACCCAATCAAATGGTTGTCCAGTCTATTTTTGAAAACCTCCAGTGATGGAGCAGCCACAAACCTAGGGGGCAAGCTATCCCATTGCTTAATTGCTCTTACATTCAGAAAACTTTTTCTAGATTGAATCTCTCTTTGACAAACTTCCACTTCTCTTTTCTCGCCCTCTGGTGCCCTCTAAGAATATGTCATAAGTCATTCTTCTCTGTGACAAGCCCTCACCTATTGGAAGACTGCTATCATGTCACCCTGGCTGAGGCTTCTCTTCGACAGAGGATTTTGACAGAGTTGAACACTGGGCCCCGTCCAACAAAATGCAATTCAGTGGTGAGAAAAGAAAGATTTTTCTCACTTAGGCAAGGAAAACCAGGTGGCACCTGGCTCAACAGCAGCCACTGTGTGGGAGATTTGGAAGTCCTAGTGTACAACCACTGAAGTAGGAGCCAGCCAAGTGCTGCAGCTACCAAAAAAGCCAACGCAGTCTTAGGCTGCAGCAACCGAGGGATCGAGTCAAGGTCACAGAAGGGTTGATATTGCTTTACAAGGCCTCAGTAAGAAGACCTCACTTACATCCAGTCTGGTCACACAATACAAAAAAGATGTTGAGGGCAGAGAAGCTGCTTGGATCAGAAGCGAAAAGACTTCAAAGAAAAACCAGAAAGTCCAGTTGCCTCCTGAAAAAAAAAGCACCTTTGGGACTTCCAAGTTCTAGGATTTTAAAATCCTCTCATCAACCTCATTCTACTCCAGCACTTGGGGGTGGGGTGCGGGGGGGGGAAGCCAGGTCTTCCTCCATCCTTTTGGGAAGAACTTCAAGGAGAAAGGGGCTCCAGGGGCTGCCACAGGATAGGAACCCTTCCCAGCTCCCAGAAAGTGGCAGTGCTGAAGGGCCGGGACCAGGAATAGCTTGGAGGGTGGGTGGATGTCCTTAGGTGGGTGGATGGCCCCACAGATAACCTGGCCCTAAACCAGTCATGGCGAACCTACGGCACGCGTGGTGGCCCTCAGAGCCCTTTCGCCAGCTGCTCTTTGGGTTTCTGGCATACACATGCACACCGGCCAACTGGTCTTTGTGTGCACCGGAAAATGGCCTGAAAATGGCCACTGTAATTGGGTCGTGTGTGTGTGTGTGTGTGTGTGTGTGTGTCTGTCTGTCTATGCAAAACCAGGCTGTTTTGGGGCATCTTCAAGCCGTTTTTCAGGCTGTTTTCAGGCTGTTTTCAGGACCGTTTTTGTCTTGAAAAACAGCTCAAAAACCAGGCAAAAACAACCAAAACACCAGGCATGTGTGCGCCAGCCAACTGGTCTTGGGGGTTCTGGTGCACAAGTGCTCCGGTTTGGGCACTCGATGCCAAGAAGGTTCACCATCACTGCCCTGAACTGCTTCAAAGGGAATAACCAGCATCTTGAATTGTCTCTGGGGAGGCACGGGGGGCCAATGGAGCTCCCACAACAGAGGTGCTACATGGGCAAAGCGAGGGGTGCCCATCACTGCCTGAGCCTCACCAGTCTAGACCAGCTGTGGCTTCCGGGTGGTTTTTCCAGGGCAACTTCATGTGGCGAGCATTGCGGTAATCCAAACAGAAAGTGACCGAGGCATGAGTGACCGTGAGCAAGGCCACTCAGTCCAGGAAAAGGTGCAACTGGTGCCCCAGATGAATCTGTGCCAAGCCCCTTCCCCCCAAATGGCCTGGGGAATCATCCATTCTTGCTCTCCTTAAATTGCTCAGTAACCCTCAATGCCAATGATTTTTCTCTCCTTTTTGCCTATGTTCTCCTCCTTTCATCAAGGGTGGCTTCAATCCGTGTTAATAAGGCGAGAGAGATTTAGGCCTCTATCTGAGGCCAGGTTCCTCTCCCCACTCCTAATTAACATTTACACCAAGGAGCAGGTGAGGTCATCCGATGAGACTAGGTGAGCAATCATCCATACAGAGAAACTTCAGGCTTACAACCACAATTGGGAGTGGAATTTCGGTCACTGGGATCATAAGTCAAGGCACCAAGTGACTGGCCCAATTTTGGCAGTCATTCAGTGACTCATGAGGTCATAAATCTGAATCCATTCTCCTGGATGAGGTTTTTTTTTTTTACTGGCAAAAAAAAGCCAAAATGAATGGGCAAAAAAAATGTTGCACGTCATTGTCAAGTGACTGCAGGACGCTGCCATCCAGGCATACGTGAATGTCACAGTGGCCTTATGGGCCATAACTCCCTCTTTCTCAGGCAATTGTCTGTTGAGGACTAAAGGTAACAGTTTCCCCTGTCCAGCTGTGCCTGCTCACCTCTGTTTCCTAGTTGAGGGAGCCAGAGCTGTCCGAAGACATTTCTGTGGCCATGTGGCCAACATGACTCCACCCCAAGAAGCATTCTGGCGGGAAAACCTTCCCACCAAAGTGGTGTGTATATATGTGTGTGTGTATATATATATATATATATATATATTTATTTATTCACATTTGCATGCTTTCGGACTGCCAGGTGGGCAGCAGCTGGGTACCCTCAGCTGGCACCTTCGCTTGTTGGTGCCTGGACTTCTGTATTTGCAGCAGGAACTACCAAGAAGCTCCAAATGAAGCAAACACTGGTGTTCTTATCACACTCTCTCCCTCTTCCTCTGTCTCTAGAAGGCACCCTTTATCAACAGTCCATGCAATTTGAGAGTCAGAGCTGGAGAAGCCGGGTAAAAGTTCCCGCAATGTCATCAAGGATGGACCGTCTGAAGTCCAAGGATGTTCGTGCCCCACCAAAGGGGAGTTGTAGCCTTCGGAACACTTCTACAATTTGTCCTCCATTAAATGCACAGTTTTTATTTCCTCCCCTTCTGAAGCAGCAGCCACGTTAAACATATTTCATCAATAGAGGCAAATACAACGCAGTAACATTTGCTTTTGCCTCGGAGGCACCTAGTCTTTTGAACGCAGGAACCCTGGGGGAACTCTCGAGGTCTGATGAGGCCAAGAAAGTTGTGCAATCCTGATGCATGCAAAATCCTTTGGCACGTCTGTGACTTTTCTACAGTTAGTCCTCGACTTATGATGACAATTGAGCCCAAAATATCACTTAGCAAAGTGAGACATTTGTTGAGTGAATTTTGCCCTATTTTACAATCTGTCTTGTCAGAGTTGTTAAGTGAATCACTGCAGTTGTTAAATCACTGAGCCCAGTTCTTAACTGAATATGGCTTCCCCACTGACTTTGCTTGTCAGAAGGCCAAGCAAGGTGCTGCGACCGTCATAAATATAAGTCATTTTCCAAGCATCTGAATTGTGATTCCATGGGGATGCTGCAATGGTCATGTGAAAACCAGTCATAATCCACTTTTTCAGTGCCATTGTAACTTCAAAAAGGTCACTAAGTGAACTGGTGTAAATCGAGGACTACCTGTATTTGGATATCACAGACCACTGCTCTGATTTTAATCATAGGAAACAGATTTCTGGGATTATTTCAAAATGAAGGGGGAAAACGTTCAATTCAAGTAAAGGAGAAACAGAATCTAGTTGGAAATCCTGAAAACAATTTTGTTCCCCAAGGATTAAATAGGGACCTCCTGGCCCCACCTTGAAAGCTCTTTCCTCCCTTCCGCTCTGCTCCACTGCCTTGGCTTCTTCCCACTCAAGAAAGCCCAGAGCTTCAGCCTTAGGAAGGCCACACCTGGAATCCTACATCCATTTTTGGTCACCAGACTATCAAAAGATGTGGAGACTCTAGAAAAAGTGCAGAGAAGAGCAACCGCGATGATGAGGGGACTGGAGACTAAAACATACGATGAATAGTTGCAGGAACTGGGCCTGGCTAGTCTAGGGAAGAGAAGGACCAGGGGAGACAGGAGAGCAGCCTTCCAATACTTGAGGGACTTCCCTAGAAAGGAAGTGGTCAAGCTAGAGAGCTGAGGTGGCGCAGTAATTAAATGCAGCACTGCAGGCTACTTCAGCTGACTGCAGTTCTGCAGTTCGGCTG